CCCCGCCCCCCGGCGCAGAGGAGCCGCCGTCGCGGGACGGCAATCCCAGTCTGGTCAGTGTATTTACCGCTAGTAAGTGTGAAATCTAGCTCCTCCCCCGACCACCAGGGCACCAGGGCTGGCGGGGATGGGGCGGTGGAGGCTACACGGAAGTGGAGTACACGGAAGTTGGGTGAGGCGAGGGAGGCGAAGCGAACAAGCTCTTCCACCGAGCCGTAGGTTAGACGTGTACTTTTGCACATCTTCATCAGATTTTAAACGTTTTAAACCAGGTTTGTATATTTTTTGAAAAAAGTCTGTTTACAATGGGAAAACAAAGGTGCTAACTCCTACCTTTAAAAGGCACTAACGGTTTGGTACCTTTAGTAAAGGCACTTGTTTGTAGCACCGTAAGGGTAATTTAGTGCCTTGTTTAGTGCCTCTGTGAGACACTAAACTAAAAATGTGTTTAGTGCCCCAGAAGAGGCACGACTCAGCACCTTTGTTTTACCAGAGTACCCTACACTACAAGCATGATTTGGTTCGAATACGTCCTAATAAACACTCTGAAACATATTGTTACCTGTATCTTTCACGTCGATTTTGAGAAGTTGTTTGAAGTTCTCCTTAGAGCCTCGTACTTATCACCTCTGAAACACTGTAACACGAAGAAGAAGTGATTAGCTAGATTGGGGCAAATATCAGCCATATCAGCTTATTTTAGCTGCCCTAGAAAACGCGAGAACCACTATCGGGGTCTGTTCAGCTAAAAATTAGATGACAGCTAATATTCTTACTCAAGGACTCACTGCTCACATAAGAAGGATTATAATTGCATGACGACCGTCTTATTCTTGTAGCCGGATTTTTTTTTGCCCAAAGAAATTTCGTTGCCAACTCTATGACAGCCGGTGGTTGTGCCACCGACGCATGTCGTCGGACTATACAGCGTGAAGCCTTTCCAAGGACAAAATGTTGTTTGGTGCAGTGACACATTGACACATGTCGTTGGATCACTGGACACATTCTTTTTCGTATTGTGATACTCGTTTTATTGTGGCCGTCGAGCAGCCATAGGGTCACTGTAACGATCACTATTCGTTACTGGTTGGTTTTTCCTTTCATTTTATTTTATCTCTGTCCGTAGTCTAAGGTGACCGTTGGTTTTTTAAATTGAGGCGCCTAACGGTTCAGTTTTAAGCTTCGCGCTTGTGCGCTCGAGTTTGAATTTCCCACCCTTCCCTCCTCGTGACGTTTCTCATACCATTTGAATTTGGCGCGGAGTGCCGCCATGTCTGTTTCTCATATTGGAGATTGGCGCGCTAAGCGGCCATGACAGTTTGCCATACTGGTCCTTTTGGCGCGCGGCGTCACGGGAACGTTCTCGGAAGCAGAGAGAGCGGAGAGTCAGTTTCCGGTTGTCAGTCCGGTGAGAATGACGGGAGTAGAGAGCATGTTTTTTTAATCTTTAATCATCGGAGATATCTTTTGAGTGGAGAACTGCTGGAGTTCAGTTTTATGCTTTAGGGCATTTATATTTTAATTGAAGATAAGTTGGTGAGTGCCACGATTACTATGAAGTAATATTTCTGATGTTGATATATGGATGGCCCGCCTAACCTCCGGTTCCCATGTGCTTTGCCACAGGTGCTGTTTTATTTTGATGTTCCAAGCCTTTTTCTACTATGTGCTGGCTCACATTCTTTTATGTATTGGTGAGTTGAGCGATGGATTGATTTTGATCATTATTTTCTGGAAGAGATTAACTGATGGAAATGTGATATTGTAGGAACATGTTTTGATGAACCCGATGTGCACTGTGGTGATTTCCTGACTGGATCCCAGTGTTTATTTTACACCTGATCGGTGAGTTAATTTATTGATGCCTCAGAAGAACATGAATTGATATTCCTGGTCAAAATGTCCGGTATACTGAGTGTCCTGTTGTTCTCTTGTTGTTTCGGGGTTCTTGGTTATGTTATAACCCTACCATGTGTTTATGGCTCTCATGTTTGATTGGTTTTGCCATTGCTCCCGCTTGCTGTGATTTTGAGGTTGCTGTTCAGCTTCATCTTTCTTCTAGAGTTTCTCCCGGACTCATGTATATTTCATTTGTATTTCTGCGTATAGTCAGTTTGACTGCAGTAATTTGGTAGAGCCTTTGAGGTGTCTGCTTTTATTATGACCTTGTGATTTGAGGTCTATGATCTGAATTCTCTAGCTTTACTAGAACTTTTCTGTAATGTCTGGCTTTGTTTTGTAGCCATTTTGAGTTGAGATTTTGAGGTTGTTTGAGGGACTTACTTGTACCTCGTTTGAGATTGGCGGTTGTTTAGCGCCTGTGTACCTTGAGTTTTATGGAGCGTTTTTAGCTCTAGTTAGAGGCTGGTCCTCTGTCTTTTAATTGTTTAAGATTTGTTTGGCTGTTAGCCTTTATCTTCTCTGAGAAGTTGTGAACTTGTAGTTCCTGTTTGAGTGTTAGTGTCTGAATTTTGAGGTACTTGGAGTCAGTGTTTGTACTTCTTCACGCTGTGATATTGTTTGTCTTTGTATTATTAAAGCCTTTGAATTGTTATTGTTAACCTGAGTAACTTCTGTAGCCATAACCTTTGACGGTGACTTGTCACCTGGCGCCCATTTATTATAGAGGACTTTAAGTCAAAGTTGAACCCTCCCAATCTTACCGTCTGGCTGGCCGGTGTGGTTAGCAATAACTTCAATTTAGTTTTTCTGGGCTTTGCTTAATTTTGAGGCTACATTTTGGCGCCCAACGTGGGGCTAGTTTTGTAATTGTTTACAGTTCTTTTGTTTACTTTTGTAATCACTATTTAGAATTGTAATTCTCTATTATCTTAGGCACTTGTAATATTTAAGTGTTTATATTGTGTACTTTGAGCTTTTGCTTTTGAGCTTGTATTTGAGTCTGCACCTTTGAGGTTATTGTTTCTTGTACTTTGATATTGTACTTGTTTGCTCTTATTTGCATTTATATTTGAGCTTAGTTATGCTTCTTGTCCCTTCCGCTTTTTAAACGTCTTGGACTGTGGCAGGTGCTGTGCTTCTTCTGTGATTGGCCAACTTGAGACACCTTTCCGCTTTGCTGATTTTCACCTTGGACTTGCGCTGCTTGCTGTTCCTGGTGTGTTGCGGTTAAAGGTAGGACACTCAACAGTATACCATTGAAAGGACTGACCATGGAAGTTGAGAGGCTTAAGAAGGACGAGCTGCTCTATGAG